GTGTAGTATGCATCATCGACTGTTTTGAAGTCTTTATACAGAGGCCTAAATCTTTTGATGCAAGAGCTGCAACCTACAGCAACTATAAAAAGCATAACACCATCAAGGTATTAATAGGTATATCACCCACTGGCTCCATTACTTTTATCAGCAAAGCATGGGGCGGGAGAGCTTCTGATAAATTAATTACACAGAAGTCTTGATTTTTAGACTTTGTTAGTTATGGAGATGTAATCATGGCTGATAGAGGGTTCAATGTTTCAGATGAACTAGCTCTAAGAGGGGCACATCTAGAGATACCTGCTTTCACCAAAGGGAAAAAGCAACTCTCTGGAATGGAAGTTGAAAGATCAAGACAATTCGCCTGAGTAAGAATTCATGTAGAGAGGGTTATAGGACAATTGAAAAAGAAATTTAAAATTCTCCAACATACCCTTCCGATTACTCTCATCAAACGTCCTAAGGACAAAGACATAACAACCATAGACAAAATAATAACTGTTACTGCAGCATTGGTTAATTTAACTCAATCTGTTGTTTAATTTTTGATTTGTTGAAAAAAATTGAAACGTTTCTAAATTAAAATTATAGATTATTTTTTAGTCCTACATTGTGGGCAGAACCATTCTCCTTTGGGCTTTCTTTTGATTGAGACACATTCATAGTGAAACCATTCAATATCACAATCCTCATTGTCACAGGCTACCATTCTCCCCGGTTTCTCTTGCTTACAAAAACAATAAATTTTGTCTTCATCAGTAATGGTTTCATGTATCACCTTCTGTTCTTTGAAGTGGTGGGTCATCAGCTCTTGCAGTAAGTAGTCACAAAAGAATGACTGAGATTTTTAAAAAATCTTATCACAATAGCTCTGATCCCGATAAATACTCTCGACAAACATGCCATCATATGTCCAACAAACAAAATCGCATGTATCTATATCAGCCACAGGTAGTTGACACTGAATTTGTGTGTAATATTTGTGCTTCCTTGACAGCATTACTTGATGATCAACCCCTTTAGTGAGACAATAGGTGCGATTGCTCAAAGCCTTGTCACTGACTGGTGAAATATCCCTTATGGTGTATGGACACTTGATTTCCAATAATTTGGTTCCGCAACAATCGCAAGATGAAATGCCATTGGGACTGGCAGCAATCCAAGGATACAATGGGTTAATTATGAGTCCAGATAAACGGGTCTCAAAACTAGTGTGCTTTTCCTTTTGCTGTGTAGAGTAGTGCTCTCTAGCAGTGGTCTCATTCTCTCCCCCATTTCAATGCAGGAAGATCTGGGCTTGGCGAAGTGTACTGCATTGTATTATTCACTATCGACTTCGGGAACTTCTTTCCTGTATATTTCAGTACGGAGTGCATGTTTGAAGAAGTAATTCTTCCTATCCTGTGTTTAAACCACAGCTCCGATTGTGATTGTTGGACTGTAAGAGTAGCTAAATTGTCAGCTTGATGTTGAGTAACACTAATGTTATTAAATGTATCACTACATGCTTTCTTGGTTTCTTCAATAGTCCAATTTAAGTTAGCAGATTGAAAGAGGTCAGAAAGAAGAAAAGGTAGGTCATCATCATCAGTATGTGTTTCAGGAGATGGAGTCTGCTCTTCCATAATGGATGGTGAAAAAAGTGATGGTGATGGAGGTGACTCTGTTTGATCCAAATGAATGTCAGGCGAACTATGAGCATTACATTGTTGTTGTGGATATCCATCTACAACAGTGAAAATAGCAGCGGAAGGATTGACAGTATAAAACGCATCTAACATTATTCCTCGAGATATTCTTGGTCTGTAGCTTGGTGTCACATCAATAGTTCTATTCGCACTTGTTAGAGTCTCATCTTCTTACTAGGAGCTCTGAAGTCAATGTCGCTTACTGTAGCTGGTTCAATCTGTATTGGTAATAATAACATCACGTAAGTTATAGCTCTCAATTTTGAACGAACCTTTTTCGAAAATGCTTGGTTCCAAAGACATGGCAGGGAAGTACATGTACTCGTCAGTCGAAGTCTGGAACAAGCTTCTACTTTAAAAAGTATGGCTGCAACGTGAGAACATACTTCTCCATGCCTAAAGGAAGGGAAAAATAAATACATTAAGTGAATATAATTCTTACCCAGCAATGCAAGTTCAATGTCCAGTTTGTACAGAACAATCCTTCTTTATTGCTACCCATGCATCATGTGCTTCATCATTCAGTCGTTGAGAAGGCTGCACATGTGCTCTCATCAGTGAAACACCATGTGTTAGACTATGTAAATACACAGTTCCTACCCAGCCACTGCAAATAACAAACAGATACAAAATCATATCTCCAGGGCAAGAAATCACTTGCCTGGTGTAATAGTTGTAAGCCTCTAAGCTCTTGTAAGACTTTAAGGTTTCCTTAGTGTAGATGCCTTTGCTATTAATCAGGTAAGTATAGATATCACCAAATTCCACTTCAGGCCATAGTTCGATGTCTGTGGTAAAGGAAGATTTCTCAGTGTAAAAGGACAATGAACGTCTCAAAAAAGTGTCTCATGAACAAAAGCCAAAAACTTAAATACACACAAAAATAACTATTAATAACTATATGAATACTTATAAGTGATAACACAATAATTACAATGCTTCCAATAGTAATAATAATACTACTGATAATAATAATGATAATAATAATAATAATAATAATAATAATAATAAGCATAATGATAGATGATGATAATGTCAACAGTACTATAGTTCTATAGATTACCACATCCCCCCACAATTAAGTATGGACTAACGGGGCAAATGTTTCCACTGGGCATGGTGTTCGAGTGGAACGTCGTAACGGTAGAGTAACTGCTGGTAATGGTGTATCTAGTAGTGGAGGAGTTGGTCCCAACAGAGGCCAGTGGCAACTATCTGTACTAACAGCCAGGGCTTGCTCATTATACCTGTAGTGAAGGTGATCAACGTGCTGTCTCAAAACCATTCCTGACTCTGTGGAGACCTGATAAGATAAAGGTCCTAATACCTTTGTTACTTTCACTGGTAACCATACCTTCTCCTGTGGGGTTCTAGTGTATGCTAAATCCCCCACTATGAACTTCCTTGTATGTACTCTACCTGCAGCTATGGCTTTTTTTTGCTTCTTTCTTACTGTCTGCTCTGTATCTGGGTGTATCAGATCCAGAAGTGTACGTAAC